CGGTGTGCTCTAGCCCTCATGTACATTTCCCCCTAGAGATGCTGTATACCTTGAGAAGTACTCAAAGACTGACCATGAAGATCTTTCAAAGTGATTCCTTCTTTCCTTTCTTCCAATCAGGTGGAGCTAAAGAGTGAGTAACAAAAGAATAATATATCGGAGAAGGTGGAGATCCCTTGGGTTTTTGTGGAAGTGACTTTTTTTTTGGCTACATCTTATTTTCCTACCCCATTGTGGATTGTCGAACTCGGTAACACGGACATTCGATTTATCTGATTTTGGTCACGTAGGCCTACTAGGGAATTTATAACAAGAACCAGCGAAGGTCACTCAATAGGAAATCTAAAGCGGAAGAGAAGTGGGAAGAAACGTGGGTGTTTATAATTTCTGAATTGAGAGGAGAGATCTTCAAGGTGTAAGCCGGCGGTAGGCGGTTCGACCGGTGACAGGTGAGTTAATATTTCTTTTTTCAGATACCAAAACCCCATCACCCCAAGATTGTTATTTCATTTCACTCTTTCTCGTACATGTCTAGACCATTACCTACTTACCTACGACACACGACATACGACGTATGACCTACGGGCTTGATGATATCATTTCTCGTTGAGACGTCATTATCTTTCTCAAATATGGTGAAGATGGATTCCTAAACGGGCTGTCGGGTTTGAAAGTACCATTTTGGAACTTGGATGTATCCCCAATAAAACGAAGTGGTCGTCATATCTGAGCTTGTATCCAGTGGGGAGTTACATCAGAATGTACGAGATGATTAAAATGTCGTATTTTGTAAAAAGAAAAAAAGTCAACAGTCAAAACCGGATTATGATCATTATGTCACAATCGTCCCCAACATCCATTTTGAAGATCTCACTCATATATATTTCGATTTTACCTCTTGTCTTGTCTTAAGTTCTCCTGTTCACATTTCGTGTTTCCTCTTGACACAATGGCCACAATGACAATGACAAGTGCTGATCTCCTCGTAGCTCAAATCGACTCGCAAGTTGGTATCGTATCTGCAACCACACCACCATTGGTGCAATCACATTCTTCCGAACAAGACCCCGTTTCAGATCATACGAATACTCAAGTTGTACCCATCCAGGAAAAGGAAGATCTGGTGAATACAGGTGAAAACCAAATATTCAAGTTTGGTCAAACAGTTGGTTGTCAATCTTTTCAACCTAGACTTTTCCCCACAACAATTGTCATCGCACCAAAACCAACTTTGACCTCACAAACCAACCTTGCTCCAAAGTTCAACTCGGCATACTTTCCTGAAATTAGCTCAGATCCCATACCTAAACCTGTCATTTACAAGGCACCTAGATTGGAACCATCTTTCATCCACAATCCTACCTTTCCAAAACTAAAAAGTGACCGTGGTCGAATCACCGAACGAGACTTCACATTTCTTCTTCGTCATCCTTATCTATTCCTTGAAGAGTCGGTATCTGAAGGAATTCGTTCAGAGTGCAGAACCTCACGAAGAATTGATCCCAAACAACCCAATCAAAACATCTCAAAACCATCTGATACCGTCATTCTTTTTGGTTATCCACCAGCTCCAGAAGAAACGGTTCCTAAAACTCAAGAGATAAGGGATCAATATCGTGATGAAGTGGAATTAACGATTGAAGTTTTGTTCAATCAAGGATATAAATTATCTTATACAGGTCCATTTGATAGAGATATACCTCCACTCGGATATTATCGTATCCAATTGTACATTTCACAATCGACCAATCAACTAGTTGATTTTGAAATTCAAATACTTGCCGACTTGAAAAAACCAATCAAACCTTTACCCAGCCATCTCAAAATATTACCTAAGAATTCTCCAGCGTTGAAACTCTCTTTGTTGAGAGGTCAGTTGAAATTTCAGACCCGCAGGAAAATCCCTGATCCCATAATCGTTTTCCCTTTTCCTAAAAGCGAGATAGCCAAAACCGAAAGTAGACCACCCCATCGTAGACGTCGTCGTGAAGCGTATTTCGAAAGACTAAAAGTCAACGGGGGTTTGAGACATCCGCAAGAATGGAAATTAGAGGATCCTTGATTCAGCGTTTTCGCAAACATTCACATATTCGTTCAGATAGCGAAAAATCTGATTTCAATCCTCCCACTTTCGTAATGGATTATCGGAATGATGTTTTGGGTGGTATTGGAGCCGCTCCTCCTGTTTCTCGACCGAACCATTCAAGTTTTTTTTCTTCTGTTTTTCCTTCTACCGATTCTACAAGATCTCATCGATATCCCTCAATGTCACAATCACAACGACATCTCACTCCAGCCCCATCCTACTCTACCTACAATCGTACGATGGGTTTACAAAGACCTTTTGCTCGAACTACCACTCCTACTCGTAATCCTATCCCATTCCCAAAATCTCCTTCCGAAAGTACCGTTTCCGAAACTGTTCCACACGCTGCCCGTCTCCCATCTTCCAGCTCCGTCCCTACTGGTCTGGCAGCTCCCAAACTCTTATTCTCTCCCCTTGCTCGAGAACTCCGCGCTATGCCCTCCTTGAATGCTTATCCGGATGAAGAAGATGAGCAATCATCTTCGACCCGACATCGTACTTTCTCCTTACCCAAGGCCACTCCGAAACATCACGCACATCCATATGGACAAGGAGATAAACGTTGGGCCGTGCAAACAGTTTGCGATCTCATGGTTTACCCTCGTCCTAATTTAACTCCTCACGTCATCACACCTCCTTCAAGTCCGGACGGGTCGACAACTGGTACTGGTATTTTGGATGTGTTCAAAGCTCGTGAAAAGGAGAGACAACAATGGGAAGCGTATGCTAAACGTGGGCGTAGTTTGAGTTTCGGATCAACAACTGATCATCCTCATCAACGTGATGCTTCAATGGGTCGTCGACCTAGTCAAACACAAGGAAGAACAAGGAGTGGTTCACTCGGTTCTTTGTTTTCTTTCAATCGAGGAAGACGTAGATCAGATGATGTCGCTAGTCATCACATGGGTATTTCTTCACAACCTGAAACTAGAACAAGAAGTTCTGTTCCTGATGATCCTTTCAGAAGTGGAATGCCACCACATCGATATTCTCGAAGTGTTCCAGATCTGTTATCTCATTCAGCTCCACCAAGACCTCAACCACTTCGAACACTTCGAATCGCCCCTTCTCCAGGTCGACCAGGAGCTGTAGTTGTCATCGGACGAGATCCTAAACCCTCACGACCGAAAGCACTCGATCTATCGAAACCTCTTCCTCAATTACCCTCAGAAACGGGTACTCCTCGATTACCCCCATCGGAACTTATGCCGTCTTTCTCACAGGAAGTAGGACTCGCATTGACGAATGAATTTCCCGTCCGATCGATTCCTGCTTCTCCAGCACCTAGCAGTCCTATTAAATCTTCTCAAACAGATTTCGCTGGAGATCCCGCACATGCGCGAGCCTACCTCGAGAAACAACATCAACGTGCGATGAAAAGAAGAGCATTCCAAGCTCCTGTCATGGGTCCTACACCTAACCGGAACAAACTCAGTGGTGCAGCTATGAGTTCTACGAGTCTTGCATCTCCACACCCGACAGTTTTCGGTAATACTTCCGCCTACCCGGTCAGCCCAAGACGAAAGACAGCTTTGGAAGAAGCTATCGGTCGAAGTCGATCTGCTTCTTTAAGCTCTATCAATCATCCTCCTCCGACACAAGTCAAAGAGATTTATAGACCAGGGACGGTAGATACGGATTCTCATCCACCTATCCTTCCTGCACCACCTATAATTCAACCACCTTCACCAACGTCAGAGGTATACACCTCACCATTAAGACCATATCCCCTATCGTCCGCTTTAGGCTCATCGGGTACTTTACCAATGAAAGAATCTCAAAATCTCTCAGTGTCCCGACCAAACTTCTCACAAACGGATTCTGTCAACTCCAAAACAAGTGCATATACCGATGCTAGCGAAGGTTGGTCACGTACTTTCCCCGATGCTAATCAAACCACATCAACATCCCAATTACCCAGTGTGACGAACAGGAGACGTCAGTTGAGTGATAGTACAGAAGATACACCAACTCCAGGCCAAAGTATGGATGAGATAGATTTCCGAGACTTATTCTTCCGAACACCTCTTGAACGTACACCACATATTCAAACATCACAACCAAATCATTCTTCGACAAATATAATACCTTTTCCTCGTGCGACTCAGAACGTGGGATTAGGATACGATCTCTCTTCGTCTGTAAGAAATATTGAGTCGGATGGCGAAAGAGATCGACATGTTGACGATACAAGAGATTTGGATCAAGGTAGACGGACTTCTGAGGAAAGTCAAGAGAGTAGAGAAAGTAAAGGAATGAGTGACGAAACTGCTGAAGTGGAAATTGCCACTCCTGTTTTATCTCTCGCTCATAGAGATTATGGGTTTTTAGGAGGGTTTGATTTAGGTTCTATGGGATCTGCTAGGTTGAATGGAGATTTATCACCAAGGATGTTATTGGGACAAAGTCAATTACCAAGTCCTCCAGCGACTGATACGGATGGTAGTCAGGGGGGATCAAGACCAGAGTCGCAAGGTGGGCAATCTACCTCCACTCCTCTAACTATACATTTTGTTCCTTCCCACTCTCGTGTCGTCCTTACTTCTCTGACTTCCAACTCCTGCTTCAAACCCGCCCTTGTGTTTTTGAGACTCGGTGATATGTGTAAGAAGAGAGGAGGTGGCTTGGTAGATTAAACATGCTGATCATAGACATTCGTATTTCTCAAGTCTACTCTGGTCGTGGAATACCCGTAACCGCCACGATTCACTCTTTGACAAAACACCGCTCTCAAATCCCGGTCACCTCACTGACCTCACCTTCACCCGACACTTTGCCAACTCCACATTCAAACCTTACCACTTCACCAGCATTCAGCTTTATCGGTGATTTCCCAAGTCCACCTAATATTTCTTCTTTTGTCGATAAACGTCCTAGTTATCCTACTGTTCCTCTTCCAAAAACACCCCTATTATCATCCTCTATAAACACTTCGACCACACCGCAACATAACACCCCTGAAACTCACACATCCCTCTCTCATACTCCAAAAGCACACCCATCATCAGCAGCCGTCACTGGTGACGCTGAACACTCCGTTCAGTCAGAGAGTCATTCAAACGAGAATCACCCAATTCCTGCTTCTCCAAACCCGACACTTGGACCAGGAACGGCTTCGGTCCCGTTACCGGACGACGCGTTCGATCTGACTTTCTGAGTTGGGGCACATGATGACGCAGAGTGTAGAGACAGAGATGACGAAGAGTAGAGGAGCGTTTGGTCAGATTGTCACGGGTCCACCTGGGGCGGGAAAGACTACTTATTGTTATGGCATGTATCAGGTGAGTTTTACTTTCTTGTGTTTTGTTCATGCCTCCCACCTCCTCACCCTCCCCTTCCATCTCTTCAAATTCCCCACTCCCTTGCTTATAATTTGCCCAATACGTCGAACGAGATCTCATCGTCTTTATTCCATGTCTGTGCTCTCTTCATCCATACTCAGGAACTTCCTTTTCAAGTCTCATTGCCATCGTCAGCCATCGAGATCAAAGTGTCAGGAAAGGGATAGGAATTTGAGACGCCCCACAACCCACTTGGGAATCCACCAATGACAGTTTCTCACAGCTCTCGGACGTCCCGTACACGTCATCAACCTCGACCCCGCCGTTCCCAACCCACCTTATCCATGCAAACTCAACATCTCCGAACTCATCACACTCGATCAGGCTATGGACGAACATGGACTCGGACCGAATGGTGCCATGTTGTATTGTATCGAATATCTAGAGGAAAATTTCGATTGGTTGGAGGAAAAATTGAATGGGTTGATAGGTCAGGATGGGGACGGGTATGTGATATTTGATACGCCTGGACAGGTGGAATTGTGGACGAATCATGAGAGTTTGAAGAGGATTATTGGAAGATTAGGTCAGATGGAGTATAAGGTGGGTCATGTTTACCCCGCTGTGACTTGACCAAAATCATGATCTCCTCTCGACCTCCGAACTCCTCTATTTGTCCGTGTCTCTGCCTCTCTCTTGCCCCCTCTTATCTCATAGTTCAATCACCCACTACTCCGCTTTGATTTGCGATCCTTCTTGATGATCTCGCATTCGTCGTCGCTCTGGATTGTGGCTATCCGCATTGGCATTTCCGAGCTAATCCCATAGCTCGCTGCCGTCCATCTGTCCGACGCACATTACATCACCGACGCGTCCAAATTCATCTCGGTCGTACTCCTTGCCATGCGAGCGATGCTCCAGCTCGAGCTGCCGCATATCAATGTGTTGTCGAAAATTGACCTGTTGGCGGGTTACGGACCATTACGTGAGTCATCTTTTACTTGTCCAGGGGACGGGACTGATAACCAGCTTTTGATCTGAAATACTTTACCGAGGTTCAGGATTTATCTTACCTTCTTGGTACGCTTAACAAAGACCCTAGATCGGCACGGTATAGAAGGTTGAACAAGGCTTTAGTAGAGCTTATAGATGATTATCAACTTGTGGGGTTTGAGCCATTAGCCGTTGAGGTGAGTTTCGTTTTTGTCTTTCCTATTCTCCATGTCAAATGGACTGCTTCCCATCCGCAGATCCCTTGTCTCCTCCCAGGAGCAGTGTCTGGAAACCAATGTGTATCTTCCCTGCGCGGTCAAACAAATGCTCATGAGCAGGACAAAACAACAATGATGAAACTTCTCCGATTATTAGATAAAGCGACTGGTTATGTGTTCATCCCATCCGACACCGAAGTCCCAGATCCAAACGGCATGTTGTCGACAGCTGCTGGGCCCATGCCTGCGTATCTGGGTGATGTGGATGACGTACAAGAACGATGGGTGGACAGGAAAGAAGAGTATGACGAGGCGGAGAGAGAAGAATGGGCTATGGAAGCTGGGATCAGGGCGAGGAAAGAGGAGGCGGAATTTGGACAGGATAGACGGACTCGGAGAGCGATGTGAGAGGTTATACCGGTTTCATTTCATTTTGGGTTTGTATTGTCATGAAATAATGTGTGTTTGCAATATGAGCCGTTGTTGATTTGTTACAGCGCCGTCTCTCTCAGCTGTGTTGCAACTGCAACAAGTCTCTGGTCGGTGTTGCAGAAGGGACCGAAGTCATTCATCCTTGTCGGAATGCATACGTCTCAACTGATCTATCCTACTTTTCTCAGACAGATATCTACCCATCAGTGACACGAATTCCCAGTCGCAGTAACATGTAACAACCACTCAAATCCCTACAGCGTTCGAGCTCTTAAAACGAAGGAAGAACTCACATGACGAACAACATCCCCATTCCACAAATCCCACTTAAGCCTATGAACCGGATTGTTCCCCATAACGACTGATCATATAAGTATGTACCTCTGATAAACCATAACAACCCGCTGGAAGCTATGGCCGCGCTAATCGTGCTCAAGTTGGGTAACACATCTCTGAGTGAGATATTCTTCGTCTGTCCTTCATCCTGCGTTTTCCTCTCAGTACGACCTTTCATTTGATCACGTCCCTCGTTGTCCCGTTTTGATGACTGCGAAGAAAGAGATGGAGAGAAAGGGAAATTAATAGCGTGAGAGAACGCATAAGTGATACGAATCAACATAGATGCGCAAGATGCGTAAATCAGGAAAGCTTCTGTATTACTTTGTTGATTCCCATGATTCGTAGGTAGACCATCTTGACCTTTATTCCATATTCTTCTATCGTTATTCCAATCGGTTGTCGAATTCTTGAGGAAAGAGAATACGGTTGATAGGGATGATAACTTTGATAAAAGGGGAGAGGTGGTGGATGAAGATATAGATGAAATGGATGAAAGATGAGTGAGAGAGAATAACGAAATTATGAAAATGAAAGAAGATCCAATCATCCATTTCGCTTGTTTAGACACTTGGATAGGTGAGGCAGAAGCGGAATGAAAAGATTCCAATATTCCATTCACACTTAAAAGAGGGATATACCATAAAAGATACGTTTCCAGAGTTTTGGGAGCGGAAGTGAGGATGTATCGTTTTGGAAGGAGAAGAGGGAGGATGGTAGGATAAAGAGGTGGTAAGAAAGTGAGTATGAGAAGGAATAAATGAGTGGAAAAGCGGAGAGAGAGAATGAGTAGGGGTAGAGTGGATGGGGAATTGAGGGAAGAGGAGAAATATAGAAGTAGCGTTTCTTCTAATGGTTGGAATATTATTCGAGCGATTAAAGAGCCTGTGTGTTGGTCACATAACTCACTTCTTCAGGAATAGACAAGCCAACAAAAGAGCTGTAAAGTATCGTCAGTTCTAATTTGCAAGAATGATGGGAGTTTGAGCGTATTCGGAAGGAAGGTCAATGTCACAGATGGGTATGTCGTGGAAATGATGGAGAGGTTTTGAGAAAGAGAGAGAGAGAGTGACGAAGATTTCTCATATAACTCACCATAATTCATAGCTACCGCATAACCACCTTGATCTTCCAGAGGACATATCCTACTGACGGCTATCCTATCCGATTCAGTCAAGAGTTGTTTCATCATTCCTTGTCTTGTATTGGCAACAGCTAATTTCCAAGCTTCTGAGTCGTATCTATTTTCTCTTCTCATTAGCATCATCCACTCAGTCTTCCCTCCCTCCCAATCACAACCAATCGAATGATGAGTCATTTCTGAGGAAGAGGAACTTCAGAGAACTCACCCTTCTTTCTTTGACTCCCATATCAATTCACCCGGTCTCGGTCTATACTCCGAGATATACCTCCCCGCTAACCAAACCTGTCCTGCTAATTGACCCATTGCGAATCCTAATAAAGCCCTATCTCCACCCAGAACGACTATAGAGATCACAGTAACAGTCGCTTTGACAATTGCCATCCCTCCTTGTGCTTGTACACGTACCCTCATCCGTGGTGGGTTCTCCCTCAAAGCTCTGATAGCTAAAGGTTCTACCAAAAGCTCCATCATGGATCCGACTAAGTACATTCCTAATGACACATAGAAATACTTTTGTCCCGCTGTCTCCTTCGGCGCACTGTAAATGTAAATACCGCATAGTAGACTTGATATTATTAGACCTAATCTGAAAGGTGTTCTAGCCAAGGCAGCATCTTGTCGACTTTGTGTTGCGTTCGAAGTGGGTTTAGATCGTAATAGAGCATTCCGGATACCTTCTCGTGAAAGAAACTCTACGGAGGAAGTGAGAAGATCAAATTGGATAGAAGCTGTTCCTAAGACTTCTGGAGGACATATTCGGATTAGAGATTGGTTTAGGATGAAAGTGAGTAGACGAGAGCCGAGTTGAAGTAGGACGAGGGAACGACCTGTGAGAAGGGCGGAAGATAATTTTGATGATGTCGCTCCAACTGGGAGTGGGGTTGCAAGGATAGGATCATCCTTGATGAGAGAGGGGTCATGGGTCATACCACTCAGCAGATGACCCTTAGTGAAGTGATACGAGTGGGATAGGTTATGGTGATCAGTGAGAGATTTGATGGAAAACACGCGTCATGACGTCTTCGCCACCGTTTCCTACCAACACGTCACCACACTAACTTGCTATCTTTCTTCTTATCTCTCATATTCTGACTGTGAATATTCATATATCCTGTCATACTCGACTCCTAGTGATCCATTAATATACTTTTAACCAGGTCTTGGCATTCACAAGGTTCTGTGAATATTTCGAAGATACCTCGATGCCTAGGTCAAGAAGGAGGACTTTACTCTCCTCTCAATCTCATCCGGGTCGCTTCCCATTTCTCGCTCATACCATGTGAGTCGGACTTCTATTACCAATTGAGAACCGGTACAGGCCGGAACACATGCGGAGGATGATGAAACCAGGCTGATCATAGTGCCCGGTTACCTCCTCGTCAACTACCGCTACTAATCTTATACTCATTCATCGTGGTGTACATCAGCAAAAGAGGATGGATCGCACCTGAAACGCTAGGTAAATCCGGTGCGGCCGTGGTTGGTGTACTGAGTATGGGTCAGTGGCTTTTACTCATTCACTCTATTAGGTTGCTCATGACCAGTCACTGGACTGTTATTGAGTTACCGATTTTCCTCTGCTCTCTCAAAATGGGATGAAGGGAAGAAGGTTTGGGTAGGCGTTCGGACGGATATAAGAGATGGGATTCGCATGGTCAGCTTTTCTCGATGCAAGCGCTGCTCTAGCTAACAAGAAAGCTCTCTATTCCTATCCGACACACTCACGGACTTATGTTTGACCCCAACATCACGGAGCACGACACATCTACAGATGATGCCTCTGAACAAGAGATAAATCATCCCTCTCTCTCACGTTCGGTGAACAAGGGGGGAATGCCTAATGGCAAGACTCCACTCACGCGGAATGACATTCTTCGGCAACAAGACCTGGTACGACAAAGAACGGATGAGCTCAGCGGACTTCTCGTCGGGTTCTCATTCGCTTTACAGTGAGTCAACTATAGTATGTCCAGTAAAGGAATCAGAAGAGCTAATGTAAGACACCATCTACACGGTACACGACCTCTTCCTAGACCTCCACTATCTGATCTCTTACCTCCACCTTTTCTCTCTTCTCTTAAACGTACCGAAGCCCGTGTTCGATTCGCCGAGAAACCTCTCGGTCCATCGGGAATCACAGTTTTCCCGTCAAACGCATCTGGGGAGCAATCGTCCACCGATTCTTCGCTACCTGGTCTGCGTCGTCGGTCCACGAGTCAGAGAAGGGAGGTTGATAGTGAGGATGACGAATGGGAATTATCAAATCTTCGAGATAGAGCAGAAGAAGCTATGGAGAGTTTGGCACACGCTGTAGCTGGAAAGTCAGAATCCATGGATGCAGAGTTGACACAACAAGTGCAACAATTGAACATACCGGAGGAGGAGAAGGAAAAGAAGACAGCGGATATCAAGATCAAGGGGATGGTAAATGGACATACGGCGACAATGGGAGGAACACTAAACAAACCGAGGAGCAATCTTCATAGTCCAGTGTCAAACTTGCCTCTGGCTTTGTTAAGGTTGATGGAGGCTTATGTGATTGGGATGGCAGAGGTGTCAAAGGAAAGAGGAGGATGGGATGAGGCTAAGCTGGAAAGAATGTTAGTTGTGGTGAAGAGTCTGACAGCGCATTTGGGTGAGGCAGAGCGACTGCAAGCTAGTAAGTTACATATACCCTTGTTTGATGACGTATACCTCTGACAATCACTTTTTCACGATTGACGGTTTCTCTCAAGAGGTTACTTATTCCTGGCTTTGTCATGCAAGCACTTCTATACCTGACATGGCTCGAACATATCGTGGCTGACCTTTAGCCCCACCGCCCTTACCACTCACCCTACATCTTTCCCATCTCCTCCTCATCTACCTCCTCGCTCTTCCATGTTCACTCCTCTGTGTCGTCTCCGGCTATCCGGTGGTGTTCATCACCATCATCGCCGCTTGGTCTTTCCTCGGTCTGGAGACTTTGGTGGGTGAGGTTGGAGGTGTATTCGGCATGTCCGGTGAGTGATTTCTCAATCGTATACCGGATGATGCCACCGACCGAACGACCAACCGTCCTAATCGACCAACGTCCAACGTCCAATCATCCGAACATTCTAGCGTCCATGGGGGCGACTCAGTAGGATATGAAGAGGTTGCTGATCAGGTAGAAAATCATCATCCTCTTCCCCGCTACACCGAACAAATCTTTTCTGAATCCCTCGACATCTCTCCGGGGTTCGCCAAATCCTACCGATCCCGATTAGTGACTCGAGTAGGGGAAGACGATGACGAAGTGACACAATTGGACAACAAGTTGAGAAGAGGAGGAGAACATTGGCTACCTTCATTCTGATTTGTGTTGTCTTTATTGACTATGGCCTGAGTGTCGCGTTATGTCTCAATAATAAACTCAAACGCTCTGTAGCTGTATCTTTTCAGGACGTGCAATGGTATAATTTAGATTTCATCTATCGAGTGTGACGTCTATCTCTGATTTTCTTTCCTTTTGACCAGGCTTGTCCTCCAATTGAAGTTCTGATCCTTTGTCCTGATTTCTATTCCCATTGGACTCTCGGCCGGCCCGTGAGAGACCCTGACTTGGAGATGGAGATGATGCAGACTTGGGGACAGCCGTGGATGATTGTGGGATCGTAGGAGAAGACTTTTTAGATCTGGTATCCAAATTGATAGTCACCGGTCCCTAGACATCAACGACCATGACATATATGGTCAATACCAACTTTGCATCTGAAGGAAGAAGCGACAGGGTGTGAAAAAGAGAATAGTCGTAACGTACATCGTTAACCAAAGAAACCTGCATCATAGCTCCAAACTTACCATCTTGTACTTTTTCAGTATCGTACGAGTTGCGTAAATGCTCTAAGAAAGATGTGTAGGCAGATTTACCCGGTATTGTGGACTAAAAAGTCAATCGAAACTCATTCCATTTTGTTACCCTAGAAGATGATAGAGTTCCCCACGCCTTTCTTCTACTCTAGAAGATGATAGAGGTCACTACCTGTGAGTCCTCAGTAGGTCAGTTGGCAGCGACGAATCATTTCTTCCACCACTCTTCAGTTGAGTTGGGACATCTATGTCTTTTCACACTCCACATCTCAAGGAACTGAGAGATACGCACAAGTAAAAGGAGACACGTAGGGAAGAAATGAATTGAAGAGATGGTGACATGTGTAGAAAATGCTTGTGGGGAAAGTGGGACTGACCATAGATTCGTGGAAATCAGGTTTTGAACCTTTGAAATTTGCGAATAAAGTGAATTGTGAGACTGAGATTAGAAATTTTTCTCTTTCATCCTTTTCCCTCACTCAGTTCATCTCTGTGTATCCGGATGTATTGTATACTGTGTATTTCTCACTAGTGGTAAATTCGCTCGACACAGACAAACGTTTAAAACGAGCGGACGTGGGGTGGGGGGGGGGAAGGCATGATAATTTCCAAAGAGGGATTTATCTTAGAAAGATAGAGAGAGAGAGAGAGAGAATAACTTACCGCAGAGTATATCCCCCTGTATATCTCTTACATCACGTTTCCACATCCCTCCTTCTTCCGAGTCGAACAATTTGATAGATAGTATCTTCTTGACCATGGTTTTGGTATCTTCCTGCGTGTCGTCTAGGCTTTTAGCACTGCTCACTTCAGTCCTACTTCTCCTGACTCTTGTGGACGTCTCATTTGCCTTTCGAAAGGCACAGCTCACGCCTTGAAAGACAAGTACGCATAACCGTAGGGATGTGAGGAGACCAATATATGGGGGGGGGGGGGGGGGGGGGAAATGGTATGGGTTTAACGGTTGATTTCCATTTGTCCAAACCGACCAAAAAGACGAATCCCCGACCGAAGGAGGAAATTATGGGACCGTCCACTAAAAGTGGGACCGGTTTTTTTTTTACGTCCGGGGGAGGGTACCCCAAACCGACCCTGATATTACACCCTGTACCACTCGTCTCATGGCGTGACCTCCCTTTGTTACGGAGAAAAATAGGGGACTTGCAGTTGTCCATGGACCATAACTGGAGAGGGGTTGATCTCTCTTGTTTCCGGGGGAAAATCCCCCCCTGCCCTGAGTTTTCAGAGGAAGGGGAACCCAAAAAAATGGGACGTTCACTTAAGGGAGCCCCTTCATCTTTCTCTGGCGACGCGTCTGGAGGCTTATAGCAAATATGAATGGATGCTCTGCGTCGCCTAAACCTGGATGTAGCCCAGGGGACTTAC